AATTATTTAAATGACATATAAAATTGTATAAAAAATAATATAAAAAAATTATTCTTAAATAAATTTTTTTTATCCAAGTAGACAAATCAAATGTCAAGTCCCTTGTCACGTGAGAGTGAGATGGCCAATTTCGCCTCACGAGGTAGTCCCCAAACCGCAGTTAACGGCAATTAATAGCAGTTAAGTTGGCTGTGAGAGTAAGGGTTAAATTGCTTCTATCGCAGAGTTCAGGGGCTTAAATACTTCAATTAAAGTCTAGGGGTTTAATAGCGATTCTGGGGTTAGTTCAGGGACTTAACGTATGGTTTTGCCTAACTTAATCGAAGTGGGACTTCTCCCACTTGAATGCATTTATTCCATGACGTGGGGCTTGATGCTCCTTCGTTTCTGTGTTTGAAAAGTTCTAGTTTATTTTATTTATTTTTGTTGATTCGTTGTTCAAATAATGTTTCTCCACAACTTGGTTACAGTAGTTTATAAATGGCTTAACCCCATTTACACTCTATTTTTTTTTTTTCATGGTCAATACTTTCCAAACTTTTTTCTTCTTATCCATACCTTTAACTTTTTAAAACTTGTAAAAAATTTAATATTTTAATGCGCCGTCACAATACTATTAAAAAATACATTATGTGATACAAAAAAATTGATATGACACTATATGACGTTAATAATTCAGTGTGGATCTCTTTTTTTTTTTATAATGTAGCTTATTTTCTACATACGTGGACGCCACATGTACAATGAGACCAACAAAAAATTATAATACGTGGTACCAAATAGTAACTAAACGTTATGTCACCTTATTAATCCAATATGGACTTTTTTTTTTATGACGTGGCATTTCTTCATCTTTTTCTTTCTCCCTCATCCTTGACATCATCTTCACCATCCTCCATCTTCACCATCCCCTTTCTCAATGGGTTCTACGGAACCTAGATTCTGGGTTCTCGTGAGGAACTCAGTTTCTGGGTTCCTATGAGGAACCCAGTTTTATTTCTTGTGGGGAACCCAGTTCTATTTCTTGTGGGGAACTCAGTTTTATTCCTTGTGGGGAACCCAGTTTCTGGGTTTCGACCATTTTATTTTTATTTTTTTATTTTGAATGTATTTATCTTAGTTTCTTATTTTATGTAAAGCAATTTGGAATAATTTTTTTGTTGGAAAGGTGAGTTTTTTTTGCTTGGAGATTGTTTCTGAATAGGTTGCCAATTTGAGTTCAAGTGGGATTAACATGAATGACAATAACGATTTTTTCATTTTTTATGGGAAAGGGATGGAAGATGCATATCATGCTTTTATGCAGTATTCATTTACTTATAATTGTATGCATAAAGAATTGAAGAACTTAGCTTGATAGGCATTCATGTGAAACTGGGTTCTACAAGGAACTCAAAACCTAGGTTCCACGAGGAATCAAGAGGATGAGGAGGAGGATGATGAAGATGATGCTAGGAAAGAAGAAAATGAAGAAATTAAAATTAATTATGATATAATTATGTCACATCATAAAAAAAATCTACATTGAATTAATTAGATGACATAACGTTCATGTTACTGTTTGATGCCACGTATTATAATTTTTAACAATTATTAATGTTTCCGTGACGACATGTTAAAATATTGAGTTTTTCATAGATTTTAAAAAGTTGATGGTGTGAATAAAGAGGAAAAATTTTAGAAGATATTGACCACAAAAAGAAATTAAATGGAGGGTGTAAATAGGGTTTTGGCCTTTCTAAATGAAAGACTAATCTATTATTGAACATTTTACTTTTAGTTTTATTTTTTAATGACGTGACACTGTGGGAATCTCACCTGGTCCAAAATTTTGAAATTTCAATATTCACATTTCGCGCATATTTCTCTTGTTCCTTGACCTTTCCTTTTTCCTTGGCAAGAACTTAACTTT